ACTTCCGGTACTAACGCCTTTAACGTTCTTTTCGTTATGCGTCGGAAGGTTCGACTGTGCCAATTCGGGGAATGCCACACATCCCCTGATATAGCCATTTGGTAAGTTTTGTCAAAATTTTTATAATCTTATGTCAAATTTTATTAAAACGTTTGATTTATCGTTTTAGTATTCTTATCTCAATTTTACAACTTTTCAAGGACTTTATATTGTGATTTTTTTGAATCAATAAGAGTCTAATAAGAGTCTGTCGGCTGGTGCAACAGTCGTCCGCTTATGTCACATATGAGGTTAAGAAGAATAGGCCCACTGGCTCAAGGGCCAGGGACACTATTTCTTGTGTTTTTGGGTGCCATTTCCCCGGAATGGCACAGTCGAACCCGCCGATGCACGCAAGTTAAAGGAGTTAGCACTGAAATTCTAATAAAAAGGAGGCTCAGAATGTTCCAGAAATCAAATTTTTTTAATTTCGATTTGAGCTAGAACTTTTTTGAGAAATACAAGAAACAGCAATTTCGATCGAAAAATACAACGACCACACGCAACCGGATTTACAAGATGGAAATCAGTCGGGAGAATATAATAGAGAAACAAAGCCTCTTTTTGTGGTAGCATGACCCGATAAGGCGCTTATCTGAAGAAAATTGAACGGAAGGAAGGTCCATTGGGACATCCGGAACTGATCCGAACCCTCCCGTGCTTCGAAGTTGGAGAGATAACGACGTTATCTCCGGGCATACGGAATTGGAGGCCCGGTGCTCAGAGACTGTTAGAGAAATTGAACATTCAATTTAGCTACTGTAATGCCCTGAACGATTTAATTAACTCCAATAATGTTTAGTAATTCAGAGTATAAGCAGTTAGAGTCAAGGAAAGAGTCAGTCCATCTCTAATGGACTTAGTATATAACTGTCACTAAAAACAGTAAACTATGAGTTTCTAGCCGTGTTTTTTAAATAATCACGCTGATTAAATTAACTTCTCATTTTAGTTGTCGCGAGGATTTTAAGCATGACATGGCCGTTTCGTGCGAGTTTTTCAAAATTACAGTTTCCCTAAAATCAAGGTGAAACTTCCGACCATGACCGACTGGCACATTAACGGCCAACCTTTTAATAAGCAAAGCTTATCCAATGCTGGTGGAGTTTTCAACCGTTTTTCTTAAACTGAACTTTCCATTTTTCCAAAAAAATCTTGTTTTGATTTTTTATCAAAAGGGTAATTTTTAAAAAGGGCCCCTCCGTTTAGGTACGGTCCTCACTACACAGAAGTCAAAGCTAGAGACAACACAGAGGTCAAAGCTGAAAAACAGTCGGTTTTTTGTTTGTTTTTTTCTTGATTTAACCTTGATGAAAACTTTCTGAAATTAAGAGATGCCAGCTTATGCCAAATTTTTTTCTCGATACTTGAAAGATTTCAAAAATCAGCAATACAATTTTTTTCTCATGTAACTCAACTCAAATCTTAGAAAAATCTCAAAAAATTTTTGGACATCGAATTTTTGAAAACAAAAAAGAACTCAAATATTTTTCCATATTACCAAATAAAAAAAAGAAACCAAATTAAATCAAATTAATATAACTATTTGATGTTTCTAAAATAAACCTTTTCTTGATTTCCGAAAGTTTCTTTGGTCTACACTCGTTCTGATTACTGCTGATTAAGATTATCTGATTAGTACTTGCCTTTTAACACTGCCAAATTTTCACCTAATAATCTCTGCCAAACTATGCCGAGTTTTTTCTCAATGCGAGAAATATTTCAAAACTCAGCAATAAATCCTGAATCTCAAG